TATAAATATTCAACAGAGGAGCTCTTTATGAAAATCAACACAGCAAAACAGACCCTTATTAACCAAATATGCGCTAAAAAGTACTTGGGCTAAAACGGTCTTTCTCCCCATCCTTTTCAAGTTCCCATTGCTAAGCAGTGCAGCTGTAGCCTACTGAATTCCTTTTACAGCATCTATAGCTGCTCTCGCTTCCTTTACCCACAAATGCCTGAAGATGAGTATGTCTCGATGCTGACAGAGGGGGACCTTTGTTTTCAGCGACTGTCTGGTGCTCCCCGCATCTCTAGTCCCGGCTCCCTCACAGGAAGTGGGGGCTGAATGGCACACAGTATAGCAGAGCTCTTAATTAATCCGCGTCGCCTAGTTGGTTACATGTAGCCAGGAAGAATCAACGGCTCTCTCTGTGCTCTAGAACTACATATTTCTAAAACCTTGTTTTATTTGAAACAAAGCATCCAGAAAGGCATGTATGTAAAGTAAGTGTACAGCTTAAAGCGCTGCCCGTGCATCCACCACCCAATTTAAGAAACAGCGTGACCACAGACTCCAAGAAGGGACTAGCGATTACCAAAGGGGAGGGGTGGGGGAGGGTGAAGGGGACTGAGGGGTACCATGATTAGCACATACGGTGTCGGGGGGTCACGGGGAAGACAGTGTAGCACAGAGAAGGCAAGTAGGGACTCTGGCATCCACTACCCTGATGGGCAGTGACTGCAATGGGGCCTGGGGGAGACTTGATAATATGGGTGACTGTAGTAACCACATTGTTTTTCAAGTGAAACCTTCATAAGAGTGTATATCAGTGATACCTTATTAAAAAAAAATGTAAAAAAATAGAAACAGCGTGCCCAATATACCTAGGAAGGTGGGAAGGCCCCCGGTGCCCCTGCCAGCCCTGAATGAGCCCTCGTTTCTAGATGATACGGCAGCAGTGGCCGCCTTTAGCCCCCTCAGTCTTCTGTTACCACACTGCCCCAAGGCGACTGCTGTGGCCGATTCAAGCATGTCCTTCCAGAATTTTATCTTAAAATTTTTTGATTTTACTTTAAACAGGTAACCTATACTTTCAAAAGCAAAAGGATTTATAAAGGGAGGAGGTCTCCTGGGAGTCTTCCCCAGTGGCCCCGTCATCCTGCTGAGCAGCCCCTGCTCCCCAGGGTGTCTGTGCACACACAGCATAGGCCACAGAGCTCTGCCCCGTTCCCCTGGGCCCATGCGCTGCTGCTCTTCACAGGGGCACCGGCCACCCACAGTTGGGACAGATCTGCCCATTCTCATGACTGCGCCAGTCCCCAGTATGGACGCACTGTAATTGCTTTAACTTGCACTCAGTTGATGAAGCTAGTTAATTGTGCCATCCACATCGAGTCATTCAGAGTCATTACCTCTGAAATGTTGTCAGTCTAATAATCATCCCTTAATAGGTAAATATCTTTCTTCCTCAGGTTCCTTTTAGGCCCTCTTGTCTTTTGCATTTTCTCACAATACTCTTAGAGATGTATTTGTTTATTCTGATTAGTGCCATTGTGTGAGTAAACATGTCTTTCATTAATTCTGGAAAAATACCAGCCATTAACTCTCTGAATATTGTTTCTTTGTTCACCTTCTGGAATGCTAAACTGTCCCCTTCTGTCCTTAATGTCTTTTAACCCCTCCTTTGTTTTCCCTGTGTTTACCTCTCTGTTCCATTCTAGATAATTTTTAGATTCATCATCTAATTCACAAAGTCTTCTATCTAATGAATTTAATTCCTGGGATCATGTTTTCATTTATAGAAACCTCAGCGTCCCATTCCCCTTTGGGTGGGCCCAAGTCTTACAATCTTGCCACTATGTTTTGCTGAGATCCAAACCCGTTCGTTCCTGAGATCGGCACCTGCCACCAGCTCGCCCACCACGCATGTGCACAGGCAACTGAACTTGGAGCTCAGGCTCTCCAGGCTGGTTTTCAGCTTGGCCCTGAGGAAGTCACTTACTTTGTGAGCTCAGCAGTGCATTTAAAAGGCTGTTACATTTTATCCAGCAGTATTAAGTGCTTTTCAGTGGGAGGGTCAACACGTTGGCTGAAACAAAAGCCCCATCTTTTGCTACTAAAAACTGTGTTGTTGATGAATGGCCTTGTATGTACATGTGTGTTTATACATATATTAAATATATACATATATCTAGATAAATTCCTAGAAGCAGAATTGCTAGGTCAACAGTAAGGAGCATTTATTGTTTTGTTGGATTTTGCCAAATCATTCCCCAAAGAGGGATTTGTGCTCACATCAGCCACACAAAATACCTGTGCATCCCAGTGTCACCAGCACGGGCATCAGCGGACACCACCACACTTTTTCTTTGCTGGGAAGACAGGTGACAAGTGGTATTGCATTGCACTTTTATTTTGTAATTTCTCTTGTTATGCGTGACCATCTCACACATGTTTAGAAGCCATTAGTCTTTCTTTTTCCGTGAATTGGTTTTTCTTTTCTTCTCTCTCATTTTAATATTGGTTTGTCAATCTTTATCAATTTGAAGGAAATTTTTTTTTTTTAACAAATTAGTCTTCTCTATTGCAGACATTTTCCCCAGATTATCATTTACCTTGACTTAGTGATTTTTTCCCCCATGCAGGGAAAACAAACATATACTTTTATATAGAGTTATCAATATTTTTCTTTCTAACTTCTGGGTTTTTTTATGTTTAGAAAGTTGACTTCTGGGTTTTTTTATGTTAAGAAAGACCTTCCCTATTTTGAATATTTTTGTAGTTAATTCTTCAAGCCCTCTATAATTTATTTAGGTGTGATTTTTATATGGTAGAGCTCCAAGCTGAGAAAGTTGTTAAAAGGTATTTAATTGCTATAATAATAAGCGGGATCTTTTCTTACATTTTTAGAACAAGTATTTGTGCATAAGGCAGCTATGGATCTTAACACATTAATTTACATTTGATTCTGAATTATGACTGTCATCCCTAATGATAAATTCATCTACCTCTCATTTGTCTAATTGTATCTTTTTTTTTTTTAACAATGTGAAATAGTTAATGAAAGCAGATCACTATTTCATAAAGGCTTTTAATTAGGAGTAAATGTTACATCGCACCAAATTTCCTTCAGCCTCCAGGGAAATGACCACGTGGTTTTTCTTACAGTAACATGGTGAACTGGGCACCCTAGAGGGAGTCTGCCTATTGATAGCATATTGCTGAGGCTTCTGTTAATATTCTGTTTGGGTCTTAACACAGATCTAGCCTGCTCTCACCGGATTCTCCTTGTGGGGCTGCTGGTGGTACTCGGGATGTGGGAAGCTTCCTCCTTTCCCTGGGCTGCGGAACAGTGTGCACAGCCCTGTGGGCTGTCCTTCCAGGTTGGCCAGTTTCACTTGTTCTTATTTTTGCAGGACTGTTGCTCCTTGTTGCTTTATCTACTTGGATTTTCTACCCCTGGGGGCCAGCGTTGATAATTCTTATCTTCCTAGGAGGTCATTTATTCATCTAGGTTTTCAAATTTGGAGATTTAAAAAATCAGCTCATACGTCAATAGATTAAACTTGAATTACTAAAAAAAATCTACAAAAAAGAAATTCGGTCATGTAGTTTGAAATTTTTCTAAGCAAATCTTACCAAACACTTACTGAGTTGTATGTACTCTTTATCATGATACAGTACTCTCATCTAAAGCTTTTTGCCCTGAAATCTACCTTTTAGGGTATTAAAATTGTCACCTTTCTTCTTGTTACTTACAAATGTGCCTTTTATGTGTAGCATATATTAAGTTTTACTTGGTGATCCATTTAGAGTAATTGTTAATAGCTAGCTTTGTCCTGACCAACAGACACATTAGGTCTTTCCTAAACTGTCTGTCAGCTCCTGCCAGTTCTTCCAGTATGTTGATACCCCATTCTCTTTTAGAGTAGCCACAGGTAATTTACTTTGAGTCCTTTTATGTTAAAATAAAGTCTCAACTATACTTCCCAACTTGGTAGGTAAGCTAGGTTCAAAATAATTGTCTCTCAGAACTATAAAAATTGATTCGTGTGTGCACACTCATAACTAAAGTTCAGGACATAGAATGTGTTTCAGATAATCTCTTCTCACTGTGTTTTTGCAAGACACAAAAATGCTTGTAGTCATAGCACATGAACATTATGTCTGTCCAGCTCCCCTGCTAGATGGTGGGGCCATGACATTCATCTGAAATTTTGCCTCGTTTACTTTTAGCTCTTGTGGCTTATTTCAGGAATGATGTTGGTGTTTCTAGGGGGTAAGAGATTTCAGTCTCACCCTCTGTGTGAGAGCTCAACATACACTTGAATAACAAGTAGTCTTTAAAGAGGTTCAGATTATTATAGGGCAACTAATTATTTCAAAACCTTTAGGTAAGTGAATGCCCAGTGTCCACATACTCTTACCACAATTCTTTTATACTTAGTCAACTATGGACACATTCCCTTTCCACATTTCAACAAGATGGTAATGAACTTAATACTGGAAGTATTATGTTCCCAACCAGGTCAGGTCAGGGTTTGGACTGCTGTTGATTAACAAGCATAGTTGATTAACAGCTTACCCTTAACAGAATGTTATACCACCAGCAACATGACCATGCTGAGGGGCAGACCCACCACTGGAACAGCCTGAGGAGGCACAGGGCCAGGCGGAGCTCGCGGCCAGGGCAGGTGTCTTCCCTGTGGAGCAGATACAGTGAGAGGGCAGCTACTGTGTTTGTCCTGAGTCTGTCTTGTACTGTGTGCTTTTAAGTCACTCTGGTTAAACACTTGTGGGTATTCTGTACTAGTTCATTTCTATTCTATCTTAGCCTCCTGTCACAGTATATTAGTAAGGAGATGAAACTTCTATGTCAATATTTACATGTTTGCAACCAAGGACTTCAATGTTCTCCATTTTCATGGGATCACTGTGCATACACCAGCACAGCCAAGGGGGGAATCTGTCAGCTCAGCCTTTAACCAACCCCACTTCGCCTCTCTTTGCTCACGTTGGGCATGCAGGGTGAGGATCCACGACCTCCGCACAGACAGAACCGCCCTGCTGCTCTCTGCCCACCAACTTGGAGTCTCTGCAGTCCAGATGGATGACTGGAAAGTTGTCAGTGGAGGCGAGGAAGGCCTGGTCTCTGTGTGGGATTATCGGATGAACCAGAAGCTGTGGGAAGTGCATTCTAGGTATGGCTGCTCCTTAGGTCTTTTTAGTAATAACTGTCACCCTCTGAGCCAGGTACTGAGCTAAGTGCTGTCCATGTGGCACTGTGAGCTAGCTGCTATGTCCACTTCCCAGGTGAGGAAACGGAGGCTCAGAAATGGAGCTGGTCAATGAAAAGGCAGTTCCTCTCTCTGACTTTGTTAAAGCTGCCATGGTTCATCCCCAGCTCTGGCAGAGACCATGATGTGGCACCCAATGACGGGCACTGCAGGCGGGAGGCAGGGCTGGCCCAGCCCCCCGTCCTGTGCTCCAGCCTCTCACCATGTGTGGCTGACTTCCTGGACTTAGCTTACACTGTCTCGAAGGGCGCACTTAGGACTTAAAGTATTCAGGCTTTAACTAAAGTTGAAATTACAGATTCCTCCTAATATTCAAGAGACGACAACTATTACCCCAAGCACGGGCAGCTGGCGTCACAGAGGTAGATCCTTATATTAAGGGGGCCTACCTGGTTAAACATTTCCTGACTTGCTTTCGGTCCTTCAGAGCTGAGGCAGCCTGACCTGAGCAGGGCACGTTCGGTGGTGATGCACCGAGGTGCCACCAGGTGGTGCCAAACGGCAACTAAAATTCCACATGTCAGAATCCCAGAAATACATGCCTTTCAGGAACACCTTGTGTTTTAAAGAGCTGCCCAACCTCCTCTAGGGCAGCTCCCACTGTAGCTCACGCCCAGGGGATTGAACTCCCCCCTTTCAGTTTCTGGCAGCTCCCAGGCCATGAGGCCTGCTCTGCAGCAGACCTCATTTTTCTCTCCCTGAAAATCTGTGCTCCCTCAGGTCACACAGGCGAAGCCAGGGTTAAGTCAGATCCTCCCAGAACTGCCATGCTGTGGCAGCATTCATACCCCTGGCTTGCTTGTAATGCCCATCCCTCTCAGCCTGGCTCAGGGGCTTGTCACTGCTTTCACCAGAATGAGGCTGCTGCCTCGGTCGCTCAGGTCCTCGCCTGCCAGTGCATACAGCTGATTCTCTCCTGAGCTCTGGTCCGGCTGTCACTTCCCAGGGCTCAGCCAGCTCTCCCCTGTATGTCGGTGGTACCACCAGTCGTCCAGGTACAAGCCAGGACTGAGTCCTGACCTCTCCTTCCTCAGCCTGCTCCCCCCTTGTCACGTCCACCCCGTGCCTTCCATTCTTCCTCCCTCACCCTTCCTTTGCCAACCACTGGCCTTCTGAAGGGCCTTGCAGCCCAGGTGGCACCTGCTGCCCCTCCTCCCAAGTGCTAAATTCTGTGTCCCATCTTTGTGACTGATAGCATCTCTTGCACTCTAGAAACATTGGGTATATTTTTCAGGAATGTGTCTTAGCTTCTGAACTAGTTAGGACTTCTCTGATGGCAGCCATCTGCTTGCATTAGACATCTTTTTTATCCTGTGTCTCCTGGGTCAGTGCTGTGACCACAGGAGACAGTGGATAAAAGTTTTTAGAATGAACAAAACCCTTTACTGCATGGATTTCAAGCCATTTCATTCCAAGATTTTCTGAACATGCTCTCACAAGCCAGAGTACATATGTCATTTGTAGCCCTGGGAGTTTAGAACTGGGGGGCCTTTTATGGATCTCACCACTAAATATGCCATCACCCTCACACCCTGCAGATGGGGAACCTGGCTTGGAGAGCTATGGTGACTTGTCCAAGGCCAAGTAGTTAGAAATGAGACTGTTCTCCCTGCATGCTGCTGAACTGTCTCCACTTGAGTATGTCCTTTATGTCCAGAACACACCAAGTTGTTGGGGCAGTCAACCCCAAATGCATAAGGGGTTTACAAATGCAGACTAGTTTACAGAGAGTGGTGGCCCTGCTCAAACTACCTTCTGTAACTGAAGCAAGACACCGCCCCTCCTTGTAAAAGAAAAGCTTGGAGGGTTCCAGAGTCCTAGCAGCACTAAGCTTCCGAGACCACGCCAGCAAATGCAGGCTGTACTCGGTTTTGGTGAGCCTTACCTTTAAGAGTTCTCTCCTGTTGTTCCAGACACCCTGTCCGTCACATCTCCTTTAACAGCCACAGCCTCATCACGGCCAACGTGCCCTATGAGAGGGTGGTGCGCAGTGCCGACCAGGACAACTTCACCACGCACAGGAGGTCAGTGGGTTGGGCTGGGTTGGATGTGTAGGCGTTCAGAAAAGACAACCAGTTTGAGTCTACTAATAGAACCCTGCTATATCCTTCCCCATAGGATCTACCCTCAGGCACAGCCATTCTTTCCGTAGAAATTGGGAACTCAGCTGGAGGTGCACTAGAGTGAAATCAGCCCATCACGTGCTCAGCGCCTCCCCGAGAGCAGCTCACTGCCTCTGCGGGACGGCAGCCTGGCTGGGGGACCACACCTGCCCAGCACCCCAGACAGTGGGCTTAGAGATCTGTTACGGCTAGAATCCTAGCAACAATGACAAATCCCTGTGCTCAGTCCTCTGGGCAACTCAGCTGCCTTTTCTTACTAGATTCTGGACCTGGTTTCTGAGCTGCCTCTTGGCCAGGCCTTCCCTGATGCTAACGTCTCCCACCTCCCTGCTGGCCTAGGTGCCTCCCCTCCCAGTACTTAGTTCCCTGGTCACCTGGTTATCTCTAGTCCGGGGAGTCTGAGTGTCTGACACACTGTGGGCCCACAGGCTGTACGTAAAATGAATTGTCCTGTCTCAGGCAGATGCTGGCTGCACAGACAGAAGCCGTAGGGGGTGAGGGCCAGAAACGCAGCGCTGCCCCTGTCACCGTCTGTGCTCTCTCTAGGCACCGAGGGCTCATCCAGGCCTATGCGTTTGCAGTGGACCGGCTGGCCTTTCAGAGTGCTCTTCCCATCTGCCGGTCATCCCGGGACGCCATGGCGGGGTACAACTATGACCTTGCACTGGCTTTTCCCTGTGACGATAATTAGGGAACAGTAGCCTTATTTGGGAGAAATTAGGAATTTTAAACCTACAGAGGAGCTCTGCACCAGATTGAAACGTTTGGGGTTGGAGAAGGGTCCAGCTGACAACCCCACACATCCCTGAACTGCCTTAGCTGCTTCTCCACTTCCGGTGAAATTCCATCCCACTCTGGTCTCTCTCCCTGGGCACTCAGTTCCCTGCCCCTTGGGGCTCTGAGTACCACACGCTGACTTGTGTTTATACTTCCCTGCTGCCTCCCCGAGTGGCTCTACCAAACCACAGGGCCTTGCCGCAGGCCTCCCGCCGAGGCATTCCTGCGGCCCACAGCCCCTCTGGGCCTGGCTGGCCGTCCTGCCTGTCTCCAGCCCTCTCCTCTCGGGGGGCCTTCGGATGGGCTGGTGTCCGAGCTTCCTCGCAAGGCCCAATATCCACCCAGCTTGCGCAGCTGGCTCTGGGTGGGCATCTTTGTCACCACTACCCTGTGTGAACCTGGACTAGCGCTACTTTTCCTCACAGGTTTTTCCATGGTTATAATTATATGTTTATACACTATTTCATTAATGAATTTGTTTCCTGTTGCATCTATATATGTGATACAAAGTAGATGTTTTCTACATATTCATTGAATAAATAGCCATCCTCCAAGTAGGATGGCAGGTGATTCTGCAAACTGTGCGCGTGAGGAGGCAGAGCTGTGAGAGGAGCCTTGCCTTGAACCACAGCAGCGGAGCGGGGCAGCACAAGAGAGCCGTCCAGTTTGAGCGGAGCTCCCACTTCCAAAGGATTACGAGGGCAAACCTTTGCATCGCTCTTGGTTTAGATGCTCTAAGCAGCAGCCATCTCATAAACCTTCAAAATATCAAAGCAGAAATGTGATTACACTACAAAGGGACAAAAAGCCATGCTCATAGTAGGTGACCAGATTAAAATAGTAAAAAAAAAAAAAAACAAGCTAAACTTTCTAAGGATTTACTAAATTTACAGTCTTGATCAAATAGCTGTAGAATTTTATACCTCTTCAAATGTTTGTAGGCCATGCACAAAAAATGACTGTGTGTGAAGACCACAAAGATGGATGGGATACAGGCCAAATTCAGTGACTCCAACCCCAAATGCACTAAGATTAGAAATCAACAAAAAGAATGAAAGCACATACACATTGGAAACCTGAAGTCACATGGTTTTAGAGGGGGAACTCCCCAGACCAGTGACAGTGAGGGCACCGGGTATCCACGCCCGGGGACGGAAGCCTGAGTGGGACTGAGGGAAGCTGTGGCTTTAACAGAAAATAATGACAGACTGAAAATAACAAGGCTGAGTGGTCACCTTAGAAAGCTTTTAAAAAGGTAATAGCCCAAAGAAAGCAGACAAAGGAGTCAAATAATGAAATAAAAAACCAACAAGTAGTAAAGTTAATCATAAAGCCACACAGTTTTTTAAAAGACATAAACTCTTGATAAAGAAGGCATAAGGGACCATCAGAAAGAGAAAAGGAGGTAACTGTGGGCTCCATGCGCTCTGTGTGGGGATGACCCACCCACACTAACCCAAGAGAAAAGTGAAGCTTTTCTACCATAGGCAAGTGTATAAAATTGGAAAATGCATTCTATTACTCACCAACTTTGGAGTTACGACGGTGTGAGGAGGTTTTCTAGTTGCTTAAGCTATTCGGTCACTAAGAATGTGCCCAGACAGGGCAGAGGGACCACAGCTGGGACTGGCCCCAAAGCCAGGGAGCAGCACTTTCTGCTCGGACTCCCTGGGAAGGCAGCTCTGCCAAGCCAGCTTTCTGCCCCCTTTCAACCCAGCCACCTCACAGGTGAAGCTCACCCGCAGTCAGCAAATGGAGGGTTCTGCTTGCCCACTGTCCTAATCTGGCCCCCAGGAACCTCACTCTCTGAGGTCCTCAGCCCTCAGTCTTACTGCAGCGAGGCCACTGGTCAAGTATATTCTCACAAAGAGTCCCTCCCAGTCTGATTTCACAGCCTCTTTTGCAGGTATATTCTCTCTTCCCAGCCTGGCAGCAATTAAAAATGATCAGAGTTTCAAAGAACTTAGACCCAGAAAATTTTACAAAAATTAAATATAGTTTCAAAATGTTATTTGCTGCCAACAGCTTGGTCCAGTGTAAAATGTTATGAGCTCAGGGATTTTTTTTTCCTCCAACTTGTGTATAACATCTCCAGTTCATGAAAATTGCCAGGTTTAGTGAAGAGTGTTTTTGGGGCCCAGACACAGTGTCTAGGCACAGCAACCTCAGTGTTTCTGCTGTAAACTTCATATCCTGGAGAAATCGCCTGATGGGGAAAGGACCAGAGTTCCTTCCTAAACCAACATTCACCCAGAAACAAATATCTTGGCCCAGGTAACCCGTTCTGCTCATCCCACCTTACCCTTCTCCCTGCCGGTTATTTTGAGGGAGCTTCTTCACCAATGTCTGTGTCTCCTTTTCTTCTGTAGCTCTTCTACTCAAATCCTTCCCTCTCTGCCTTCCCTAAAGACAGAAGAGACTCAGATACTCATGTCTTGTCTTAAAACACTACATGACTTTGCTTTCTACTTTGTTTGTTGGTTCTAATATTAAATTTTTTAAATATTTATTGCTCCTATTACTTGTCACTTGGTCAGATGGTCCCCTAGCACAGCCCCTGGGGAGCTCACCTGCTGGGGATTTGCAGTCTACAGCTGAGTTTCTCCCAGAATCACCATTACAGGAGTTCCTAGCCCAGGACCCAAGAAACCCACAAAATTATATGCAAAACCGTGCATAAGGGCATTTTCTGGAGAGAAGCGTGGTTGTCCTTCATCAGACTCTCAGAGGAGACTGCAGCCCCCGAGAATTCTGTCCCTGACACTAGACTGGCTTTCAGTCCATGTCACCTTCCCCACCGGTTGTAAGTCCGACCCCGGCTTACTGGGCTTCAGCTGATTAGAGGAAGCACTGGATTTCCCTAAGGGCGGGGTGCTGGTCCTTTCTCAGAGGGGATGACAACCCCCAAGGTAAAGCCTGCCTCCACCCCCACAGCCCATGCAGTAGAGGCCTCTGTTTAAGGGGATGATGCTCTCCACTCTGCATTTCAGTGACAAACACCAGCCACCACAAACCAACTTAGCTCATCACCGAGGAGAAGTGGCTTCCCCCAGGGAGGGCACAGCCTCCTCGCCATCAGGAGCAGGCCCGTGCAGTGGCGTAGACGGGCGCCGCTGCCTCCCTGACCTGGGGCCCGTGCTCTGGGCAGCAGCTGTGGCCGCCACAAGCTGATATTGCTGGCCGGCCAGGCTGCAGTGCTGAGAGCTGCTCGGAGCTGCCCGCTTCACCCCTCGCGGCCAGGCCAGATGGTTACCTGGCTGCGGCTGCAGGGGCCTGCAGCGATTTGGACAGGGCTGCCTCTGATGTGTGATGGCAGACTCCCTCTCACTGGGCTCCAGCGGGTGCCATGTGGGGCCGGCTTTCAGCCTCTGATGTTGAACGTGGGCTTCCGGCAGCAGGCTTTTGACAGCTCTGCACTGGGGACCTTTTTCCCTAGGAAGAGAGGGAAAGCACCCCCCAACCCAGCCACATACCTGCACCCGCCCCACTCCAGCCCCGGAAGCTGAGCCTGTCACATCTTCTCTTCCCTTCCCTTGCCCAGTGCTGGGATGGACACTGCCTTGTCACTTCTCTAAGGTGGGGGTGGCCACACACTGCTGCTTGGCACCCCCCTCAACCTCCGGCTGCCCTGTGAACCGGTCTTGGGGTAAAGACTGGAACTTAGCCCCTTGCCGACTTGGCCAACGTGTGGATTAGAAGGATGAGCAGCCACCATGAGCCCATCAGAGTCCCTCCTCCTGGGGTCGAGTTCCTCCCCACCAAACCCCTGCTGGCACTTGTCTCTGGTTCTGGAGGAGCCTGGAGACAGACACTGATGCTCTGGAGTCTGGTGGAAGCTCTGGCCCCTCCCACTCAGCTCTGCAAGGCCTTCCCAAGGTCACCACGTGGGTGGGGAGCACAGCCTGCAAAGCAGGTGCTGGCTAAACCCTTGCCAAGGCAGCTCGTGTTTGTAACTACCAGCCCACGTAAGTTGCCCCGGGCCAGGCTCAGTGCTGCAGACAACTTCACCGGAACTACAGGCAGGTGGGGACAGCTTCAACCGCTCGTTGGCAGGATCAGACCATACTTGACCTATCTCCCATTAGCAAAGGAAAGAACTCTCCAGACCCTTGGACCAGACAATAATGAAACTGTTTTGTTAAAACTTAACAATAACTTGCTCCCTAAGAGGGTGATTGGCCAAAATTGGTAGCTGCTGTTACATTACTGTGTTCCCTTAGCCATAATTCATGTTTAACATTTCTGCAGAACTCTCCCCCTGAGCCTCCTGGATTCCCATTACAAGCCCTTTTGTAAGCCTACAAAACTGTTGTGTTTGTGTCAAACTGCCATACTCTTAACATCCCAAAGCTGAGGTGTGGTAACTTTTCTCCTTGGTGATAATGGCAGTATAGGTCTTGAGCCCACCTTCAACCTGACTCCTGGCAAATGGGTGGAAAACATGGGGCAGGGGTGGGAGGGTGGCCTCACCTCCCCCACTCCATCCCACTGGCTGAGAACACCCCCCAGCTGGTCCCCACTCACCACCTGAAGCCCTCAAGGTGCTAACTTAGTGTCCTCCAAATATCTGACTGAGCACTGATTTCTGCCCATGTCTCCTCCTACTCACTGGGATGACTCCCCAGAGGAGGAAGCTGCTGTTAAACATGCATTTGTTGACTTATCACCTGGCCTATCATGGAACAAATTCCAGAACAAACACATCACTGGCCTTCGGCTGCTTCTGATGAGGTGCCCCATCCAGGAAACGGGGGTGGCTGTACTCCACCAGAGAGTGGAGCCAGAGGGCTCCTGGACACACTCACTAGTCCAGCAAGTAACTAGCCTTTGGGAGCCACCTGCCTCCATCGCCTGCACAGACCACATTGTGGGTGGCCATCCCAAACCTGTGCCCCGGGCAGTGACCCTCAATCTAGCAGCCCCGCTAGACTGGGGAATCTGCCTGTCCTTTCTAGGAGCAAGTTTGTACCAGCTAATAATATGCACCCCTCATCACCAGAAGAACAAAACCACAACTTTGCACACACAGCACCCTGGGAGCCAGGCGGAGAGCAGGTGAACTCTCTGGCCCATGCTCTGGTGGGAAAGAGCCCTAACCTTGCCAATTAGATGACACCCTCAGTGGCTGGGAACAGTCACTTTCATTTGAGCAGCACAGACTGGGCTCATGGTGAATAAATCTCATTTTAATTAGCTGTTTAGGTAAGCTATGGCCCAAAGCTTCAAAGACATTAGGCTAGCCCTCCGTGGTCTGAGCAGCGAAAACGTTTGATGTCTGCCCACAGGGCCACATCTCCCAAACTCAGGGTACTGGTGCTGCTGCAAGATTTATTATTTATAAAAGCACTTTACATTAATGAACTGTCTTTGTTGAGAAGAACAAAATCACAAATTGGGAGTCTCCCAGAAAATTCAGGTCTCCGGTGGCCTCGCCAGCAATCCTGCTGCTCAGTGACACCGCGGGTGCATCTCACTGGCTGGGGGCAGACAGACAGGCATGGGGAGGGAGACCACAGCTCTGCAGGGCTGCAGGCTGGCCCTGGGGACACTTCCTGGACCAACAACAGGACCATATTCCCCCAAAGCAGGCCATCCCTGTGACTTCCTAGGTCCCTTCTGCCAGCAGCCAAGAAGCCCAGGCATATGAGCGAGACAGCCCCCCAGCATCAGGGGAAGGGGAGAGCCATAGGCGATGGCCTCCCACCGCCCCACAGGAAACTGCCTGGTGTCTGCCTTGTAGTTTTCAGGGTTGGTCTCCTACCAGCCTGCTGGTGCCTAAGGGTGAGGAAGAACAGGCCTCTGCCTTCACCCCCACCCTGCAACCCTGAAGATGTCAAAAAGTTTGTGAAGAGAAGTGGTAGTCTGAGGAGCAAAGCTCTGGAAGGCACTACAGGCTGCTCTCTGCTGACCCAGGGTTTGGGCTGTGCTGCCTCTGGCTGGTCTGCCAGCATCTGGAAGAGAGGAGGCCCATCCACCTTGTGAGGCCCCAGGGCTCACCTTCCAGGCCAGCATCTCTCGGGCGTGGCTGCACTGAGGCCCTGGCCAGTCCTGCCTCATGCCTACTGCCGACAGCACGCCAGCAGGGACCTGGGTCACCTCTCAGCTCTGAGGTCATGCGTGTCAGTTCACCGACCAGGGTTTCCCAAGTCCCGCTACCGCGGAATCTGCCACCCGGAACCCCTGCACCCCACTGGCCTCCCTCCTATACAGTCACACTTCCCCCCCACCCACCTCACTGCCACGCTAACCTCACCCTGCCTACATCACTGCAAAACGGCACTGCCAGGCCACCTGATGGCTGCTGGGGGAGACTGGGGCGGGCAGCCCAGGATGGAGGCTCCAAAACCCCTGTGCCCTGGAGCACAAGAAAGCATGCTTCCTGTCAAGTGTATGAATTAAACATTCACGAACGTGAACAGCAGCAGTTGCCAGTTATCAGGACTTTCTCAGAAGGTTAGACAGACGTCTCCCAGTGAGTGTAGTCAGAAAGAACCAGCACATCGCAAACGTGACCACCAGACCCTGGAACGTCAGCAGGGACACGTGACTGCAGGGCCACGGCATCGGGCCCCAAGCAAGCCCGCAGATCACCCCTACGCCGCGAGTGCAGCTCTGCAGGCTCCACAGGTGCCAGCCCTCCGGGACTCATGGGGCACAGCGACCAGCTGAGACGAACGACCTGTTTCCTTGCCCTCCACTACAGCTCGCCCTCAAATCAGAAGGTGGGAGACACTTGCCTGGGGAGTCGCCTCCCAGCCACGCCTGGTCCCCAGCACTGTACCAGGCAGCTGGCCCCATCCTCCCAGGAGGGGTCGGGTCACCACCTGCAGTCAACCAGCTAGGCCTTGACTGCCAGCACCCCACTGCAGGGGCAAGCTTGGGCGGACCACCACCCTGCACACACTCCCCCCTCCAGTCACAACAGCGCAGAGACCCCCGTGCTCAGTCACAGCCCCGCGGAGCAAGGAGCTGCTTTCTGGCTTTACTGCCTGGGATAGAGAAGGCAGACAAGCTCCCAGTACTTAGGCAGGGAAAGAGTGCTTTATCCAAAGTAAACCAAAAAAGGAGAAAAATCCCTTCTTGCAAACCAGCCTTTGAAAATCAGCTGCCGCTGGCTTGCCCCTCATTCTCAGCCTGGGCCACCAAATGGCCAGGCCACGTGAGTGGAGGTGAGGAACTGACAAGAGCCAAGTTCATTAACAAACCCTCTCTTCTTTTTTATTAGAGATAAAAACAGCAAAGTCCCACCTGCCATGCCCTATGGGAAAATGAGAGGTACGCGGAGTATTGAGTATTTACAGGAGCTCCGGCAGGAGAACGGACGCCTGCGGGCCTCTGTGCAGGCCACGGGTGCTGACTTCTGCCCGGAGCCAAATGCCACCTCTCTGCGGGGCAGGCAGCGGGGTCAGTGGCAAAGGGCCATGGTTTCCATGTTCAGGAAGCGGACGTGCATCTTGGTCTCGATGTCTATCCCCTGCCAGATCTGGAAGGGACAGAGTAGCGTGAAAGGTGTCCCCACCACCCCTGGCCCAAGTCCTCAACCGTCCGCCTGCCCTGCGCCACCAGCTGGGGTGCCCCGGGGCAGGTGAGACCAGAGGACTGTGTCCAGACCAGGAGCGAAGTGAGGAAGAGCTCTTCCATCTGCCTTTCTGCTGGTGAATTTGGCTCTGCCATTTGGATCCTTTCTGAGACTGTCACAGCAAGTTATTAGTAAGTATTGAATCCAAGCTCTTAACTCAAAGTCGTTTGAATCCCACCCACCACTTCAGGCTCTGTGATTTTCATGCAAATTCCTGAGCCCCATTAAACCTTTTGATCAGCAAATGCAGAGACCACCACCTGTGCCGCCCACACCACAGGATGTTGGGGGCGCACATTCAGAATCATCCATAGAAGCACTCCGTAAACTGTTAAGGGCTGTGCAGATTCCAAGGTTTCATTCAGCGTTAATTAAAAGGTCACAACACTTTGGTCTGTGTAACCTCCCTAGCACAGGAGGCCACCTGTTCTGCGTAGACAAGCTGTGCCCAGGACTGCCACAGAACCTGGTACTGGGCCCGCCCGGTCCGTCCTGGTCAGGGCCCCAGTGGACAGGGAGGCCTACTGCCTCCCTGCAAACCCCACCACTCCCAGGACAGCACTTGCCAGCGCCCTGGCCACTCAGGGCCCCAGTGGGCCACCGACAGGGAGATGGCAGGAGGGACACCAGCAGGAACAGAGGTGTGCGGCCTTCTGTCTCCCCGCGGACGTCAGACCTTCAAGCTCCTGAGCATTTCCAGGGACAGCCGTGAGGCGGGAGAGGAGCAGTTAGCCCCGTGGGCACCCGAGCGGCAGGGAGGCCTTGCCGCATCTCTTGCCACTGTCCCGTGCCCAGTGTCCCAGGGCCCCTGCCTTTGTTTCCCGGAGGTGGCGGAGGGGAGTGCTGTGAGGACAGAGAAGGCAGGTCTGGTTCTGAGGGAACAGCCCCCTCCCTGTGGGGTGGACAAGCTGTTCCCAGGGAAAGATACCTGGACACCCAGGGTGTTTTCTGCAAAATGCCAGGTGGCCACAGGGTCACTACGGGGCTCAGGGAAAGGGAAGGGCTGGCTGGTCAGCAAAGCCTCCCACAGTGCAGGGACATATTTTGGGGAGCACTGGAGGGCATGGTCGGGGCAGAGAAGCTGGTTCTCGGCAAAAAAAAAATATGGCCATCCTGTCTTCACTCTGCCCTTCGTAATCCCTACAGTGGCACACCTGTAGGGGACGGAGCAGGCTGCCCGGCTGACCCCTCCAGTCTGTCCCTCCAGGACAGTGTGCTGCCTGCCTCCTCTCGCCCAGCTTGCTGACGACTGGCCAGGCCAGCGGTGCAGACTAGGAAGAGACTGCCTGGCCCAGCTGCCCCTCCACACCACGGGGCTGTGGCCACCTGTGTCCCTGGCCTGGCAGCACCCGGGTGGCAGGGCACAGCTGGACCCAGAGCCTCTGGGTCCTGCTCCCTGGACTTCCTGTGCTCCTCAACTCCAGGAAAGGGCTTGGGGACACCACTGTTGGGGTGCCAGGGCCAGAGCACCAGGCAGAGGACAGGGTATCTGCCTGTCAGCTCCTAGCCTGAGAGAACGCTTGTAAGAGCAAAGGCCCCTCAAGGCCTGAACCACCGCTAGTCGGGGCTGGAAAGTTCACCGAGGCTGAAGCCGGCTATGAGGCAGCCACATAAACAACAGGGACACTTCTGAGAAGGGGGGCCAGGGGCTCGTGAGGAGAGAAATGGAGTTTTTGTTGTATGCATGCCTTTTTGTATTGCTTGAATTGTTTTGACCAAGTGTGAATATTGTCCTTTCAGTAAAAATAAGTAGAACCAGTTCAAGCTATACTAAAGGCCTCACTCAGCCTGGACCCCTATCCACAGAGAAGTTGGTCTCCTGAAAAGTGGGCTGGCCCTCAAGCCCCCACACCCTCCGTCTCCTCCCAGACACCCACCTTCAGGAAGTCATCGAAGGTGATCCCCTCGTACACCTGATCAGGCTCCTGGGGGCAGAGCACACACAGCGTGAGCAGCTCCGGCCGGGACTCTGCGCCCGCCACTGCCCCACACCTGCTGTGCAGGTTCCTGGGCCTGGTAGGTGGTGTGATGGGAAGCGGGGTCCTTCTGGACCGTGGACCCCCAGCTTGAAGCCAGTAACCCGAGCTGCAGCATTCCCTTCATGGATTGAGGGGGGCATGTGAGGCAGGTGTGGCTTACCAGGACCCCACCGAGCCCCCCAGGAGGACCGGGTGGCTGAGGGTGGAAGAGGAAGGGGGTGGGCAAGAGACACCAGGCTCCCCTCCCACACAGCCACCCCCCGCCACCCCCAGCAGCACAGCCACCAGCACACGCCTCCTGCCTGGCCCCGCCTCTTCACAGCAGCGCTGATCATCTGAGCTCAACACCACCAGGGAAAGGGGCAGGGGACAAGGGCTGGCCTGTGGCCCATTGCTGGTGCCCAGTGAGTCGCCGCGATAACATCTGGCTGTGGGGCCCTCACCTGTCGAGTCACTGGCAGCGCCAGTCTCCATCTGCCACTTTCCTGCTCTCAGCACACAGGCGCCTGCCCTTTACTGCTCCCCAGGCACTGACACAACCAAGCACACACTGCACCCCTGCCTGCAGGTCCCCCCATGGCAGTGACAGCCCGGCACACATCCGAGGCAGGGCCCATCAGTACAGGACTAGCTGAATCAGTCCTGGTTGTCCGTGCTGATTACCACACAGGCACTAGGAAGGGGCTGATCTGTGCACATCAGTATGGAGAAGGCTCCAAACACAAACAGTGGGAAAAACAAAAGAAACGGGCAGAAAGGTGTGCGCTGATCCTGTGTGTGCACGCACATTTTGTCCCCACACCACTACGAAGGCCACCAGCCCCTGCCACGGGGACGTGTGGGATAAGGATGGAGAGGTAAGTACACCGATTCAATTCCGTTTTGTGCAAATCAAAAAGACATACACATAAACCTTGGTATTTGTGGGGAAATAAGCCCCATCGATGGGATTCCCTCTGGAAGGACTGGAGCCACGGGGAGGGGGGCTGGGCTGCTCGCCGCTCTTTCTGTCCCTCTCTGGCGGTGGTTCAGGACAACAGTAGGCACTCTGAGGGTCTGCAGTGTTCCAGGCACTGCCCCAAGGGCTTTACAAATATTATTAAGCTGCTGCAAACCTCACAGCGGCCACGGTGGGCTGGTCTCGCGCCCCTTTTACATGTAAGGCCGCGGGCGCGCACGGAGGCCAGGCTGCCCGTCCAGCCGGGAGCGGCAGAGCCGGCTCCATGTGTGTGGCAGGAGTCCTCACCCTTGGTGGTTTCTTACCATTTTTTTAAATAAATACAGATAATAAATAAAGATATATTCTTTAATTTTATAAATGCAACCAGTTCTCAGATGCCTGGGCCAGCCCTGTCCCTAAGGGCCCCTGTTGTTCCAACCCACGGCACAGGGAGGAGCGGCTGCCCTCTTGCTGGGGGCCACTCCAGCTTCCCAGGATAGCAAGGAGAGCTAATTATAGACCAGGTCCCACTGGCCTGAGACCAGGGCTGGGGGTGGGTGCCCAATGGAAGGCCACAGGTGACCCCAGCCAAACAGCTCCACCCTTGAGCCGCAAGAAAATTTGCAGAGAAAGCGCTCTAGAAAGAAATCGTTGCCCCAGTCGATAACCAGATTTGGAAGCCCATTAAAGTGGGGAGATGGACCGTCTGTCTGTGGCGGGCGGCACAGGCAGAAATGATAAGCGTCCTCAGAGGCCGGATGGTATTGACTGATGTGGCCACCTCTTGCCCTGTGCTTGTGCACACACGGCGTACCTGTTTATCTGGCCGACGTTTACATGCGAACATATTTTAAGAGCCCACAGAGGATCCATAAGTAAAGAAAGACGCCTGGGACGTGCACCCGGGCTGTTGGCACCAGCTCCAAAATGCCTCGGCCTCCCAGGCTGTGGGGATCTTATGCAGATCAGCAGCTGCCAGCTGCCAACGATTTTACTACAGCAAATTAAGAAAACTGTCACCAATTGAAACTGGAGTGGAATGGGGAGCAATTTACAGGAGAGTGTAATTAAATCAAATGGGAATTTGGCTTGACAACCCATGGGGGGTTCCCGCCCTCCCCACAGAGGTCACCAGCCCTTCTGCCACAGCTGATTTGCTGAGTGGGGTGGTTTCACCAAAGCCCAAGACCTCCCTGGGCCCAAGAAACAGACAGATGAAATCCAGCTCATAAAATGACCAAAGACCCCCGCCCCAGAGGCAGGCCCAGGCCTCCCATGACCCTCGATGACAGGCGTGGGACACAAACAGTAGGTCCCAGCAGGAGAACACCCCTCCACCCAGGCCAGGGCCAACCCAGAGCCAGGAAGGCACCTGGCACTGCGGCTGCTTCACATACACAGGAGGGAAGAGGTGACAGCCTCAGCCAGGCCAGCCGGAACCCTCAGAGTCTATGAGGTCATGTCTGCCCACTAGATCCCTGGGCGTCAGGGCCCGGCCAGGCTGGAACCAGCCCTTCAAGAGAGCCCACGCCCACCTTCCACCATCCAGACGGCTGCCTCTGACTCCAGAAAGTTCTTTATGTCCCCAAGCCTCGGTTTCCCCACCAGTAATATATATGGAAGGCTAAAAACTGATGAAACGTGTGTGACATACCTGGCCTGGTGCCTGCCCATGCCATGTGGTCGCCTGTGGTAGAGCGCAGGGGCCCCTGGCCTGCCTGGAGCTCCCCATGCCCGGCAACAGTGCCGCATGCTGGGAGCGACTGCTTATCAGTCACAGTGCTGGACACGCTTCACTGGCCATTTATGTCTGTGCCCCCCAGATTAATGGTTCTTCACTGGGGACAGTCTTGCCCACACCCCACATCAGGGACATTTGGCAACGTCTGGTGACATTTTTGGCTGTCACAACCTGTGGGGAGTGATGGGCATCTGCTGGGGGGAGGCCAGGAAAGCTGCTCAATGTGGGCACAATGCATAGCACACGCCACACAGAGAATGCCCACCCTGCTGTGGAGGGCGCCAAGTGAGAAGCCCCACTCAACTCACCTGAGGCCATCCCAGGGTTGCCCAGCACAGTGCTGAGAACGACCAGCCATTCTACAGCAGCGGGACCCTGACAGCCTCACGTGTCCATGCCTGTGCTTATCTTCCGGGTGCACCTGCCCTCCTCCCCCATGACCCTCCTGTGGCTCTGCTCTCAGCCTCCCACGTCTCTCCTGGGGCCAGCTGGGGCCTTCTCCTTCCACGGTGTGCACACTGCCTGGCCCTGAGCTGGGAGCTTCCTGCCAGCCTGGGAATCGACACAGTGGGGTCTACGGCCTCTGATGCCAGGCCCAGTGAGAGTGGTGCACAGGACAGGTGTGGGATCTGCCTCTGGGGCCTTCCAGAAGCAGACCACAGCTGGGCAAGGCGTGGGGGACAGGGCGGGGGGGGCCTGGGAGCCCCAGCTCACCATCTGCCCCACACAGACGCTGGCCGCCTCCATCATGGCCCCGTCGGCGATGGAACGAGCAGATTCCTTCTCGATGTGGGGGTTTCCCGACAGCAGCTCCTCAACCACCTGCGGGGCGGGGCGGGACAATGGTGACCCTGGGTCCTTGACCAGCAACGGGACGGGAGGCGGCCGGAGCCCCACGGGCAGAGGAGCATACTTTACATTTCGGTATTCTTCCAGGGTGATGCGGCCATCGCTGTCCGAGTCGTACATGTGGAACAGAACTGGGGGCGGCAGGGGAGAGGTGGGCTCAGCCAGGCCAGGTGGCGGGGGAGCCCCGGGCCCCTCCTGCTCCCCCAGCCTTACCCACTCAGAATCAAAGGAGCAAAAGACACCAACAGTGAGACCTGAATGCCAAAGCTGTAGGGGTGAAGGGCAAAGGTGGAGCCGGACCCCTTCCTGGAGGATGACCTTGGGCAGTGACCTAACTTCTGAGCCTCAGCCTCCCCATCTGTGAAATGGGTGTGACCTGTCTACCTCACGGTGTGGCGGGGGCTCAGGAAGGTACAGCTGCCAGGTAAGGGCCAGCGATCGCTGGACACCCCGTGAGCACGGATGGCATGACAGGACTGTCAACACCAAGTCAAATCAGTGTTACTTCAAAATATCGTTCCTGACAGAGCTACAAGGGTGGCCGCCATCACCACATCCCAGCCCCAGGTGGCTCAGAGCCGTCCCCCAAAGGGCAGGAGGGACATTAGGCCTCCTCTGGTTATTCCACTCTTGTTGACATCCACTTGGGTCCCTGCTGACATCACTCAGCATCCCACAGCCCTACAGAGGCCAGGAGCTGACAGGCAGGGGACCTGCCCTCTCATATCCTGCACAGGTTGGCCTCAGAGAGCCTCTCACTGGAGAAGCCCCCGCACCTGCGTTTATCCAGCACTGCTCACCCGCCCACCACCTGCCTGGCACAGTACAAAGCAGCAAATGTCTTTTTCTCTTGTTCTCCTGGTCCCCGTGCAGTCTGGGCTGCCGTGCACCCATTTCACAGGCTGGGCTGTCAAGGCTCACAGAGGTTAAGGTGTTTGTCCACCACCACCCCGGAGGGAACACCAGGTCCCTGCCATTCCATGGCTGCATTCCCAGCCCGGCCCTGGGGGCAATGAGAAGCCAGGCCACCAGCAGCCCTCACGCACACAGTCCAGAGCGAAACACAACCCCGTGTTGACATGCTCCTGCTGGTGAGCCTCGCATGGGGTAGAGGAAGGCCAGGAGTCGTGGGTAAGCCCGCGGAAGGAGCTGTGCCACAGGCCACCCAGGGATCCCAGCCAGGCCGCCTGGAGCCTGGGGACACGCACATCTCAGCTTCTCCTTCCGGCACAGCTGCACCTGCTCCTCGTCCATGGTGGTGTCAATGGGCTGGAAGTAGGACATGATGGTCAGGAAGTCCTCGAAGTTGATCTCGTCGGCCAGGCCGCCGGATCCCTTGCGCAAGTTCCTGCAGGAGGGACAAGGGGGTCTCAGAAGTGAATTAAAAACTGGGTCTTGCCCTTCAACTGCCCACAGGTCAGAGAACCCTGTCCTTCTGGGCGCACCTGGCCTGTGGTAGCTGCCCTACCTGGGGTTCTGTTTACCAACAGCCTGCTCCTGGGGGCACCGGGAGGTTGAGCCCAGCCTGTGCTGCCCCCCCCCAAGGCTCCCTGTCCCACGACCACACAGCTGTTGCTGAGGGCTGGGAAGGAGGGCTGCCTGGGTGCACCATGGTACACAGAGGTGGGGAACCTGAGGCAGCTGGTGACCCAGTGACTCACCGAGGTGCACCTCACTGACCCTGTGGACCAGAGGTCAGCCAACTGCAGCCCAGGGGCCAAGTCCCACCTACTGCCTATTTTTGTATAGCCTGTGAACTAAGAAGAGTTTTTATATTTTTAAGTGGTTGAAAAATGGGGGAAAACAAAACAATAATGGCATTTCAGGACAAGTAAAAACCACATGACATGCACATTTCAGTCTCCATAAACAACAGTATTGACATTCAGCAACACCCATCCATTCAGTTACTGTCCGCAGCTCTTCTCATGCTACAGAGGAAGGCTGAGCAGTTGCCGCAGAGAGCATACGGCCCACAAAGCCTGAAATATTTACTGTCTGGCCTTTTGCAGAGGGAGTGCGGACTCCTGCCCTCTATTAGCTGTTTGAAACTCTAGCCCAGTGAGCAGCTACTGCCAGCCCTGAGGACTCTGTTCACTACCCAAGTGCAGACTTTATTAATTCAGATTAAAAAAAAAAATCAGAGGTTTCAAGTGGTCCCAATCGATAGGCTTCTCTGAAGGGGCAAGAGACTGCTTGGGCTCCAGGCAAGGCTCAGGCTGGGTCGGCCTCGGGGCCACACAGCGCCTGGCGCTCAGCAGGTCCCTTGTAAATGTGTGTGGGTGCATCAAAAAGCCACACAGCGTGGGTCCTGCCGAGAAAACAGCTTGAAACTGACCCCACACAAACCCAGGCTCCTGAGCCACTACTGCCAAGCCCGCATCCCTGAGGGACTTCTGCTGGGCCAGGCCGCCGTCGGGCCGACAGACTGAGGGTTCCCTTGGCCGCACCATGTGTCCTTGCAAAGGGACAGCTCCCCAGCTGGCCCAGGAAGATCGACAGCCATGTACTTGGGTCTCTCCTGCCATCACGACTACGCCTCGGTGTAAAGGAATGCGTTTGTGGTTCTCTCTTTAGGGGCCACCTATTTATTCCCTTTCAAATACCGACTGTCCCTGAAGTGTGCACACCTCACAGTTTACAGATCTCTCTATGCCCAATTTCTCACTCGAGATTTTCCAGAAAGAGGTGCATCCGAATCCTGGAATAGAGGTGGATTGTGAAACTACAAACCTGAGATGTGAGGCAAGATGTTAGCCCGGATTCAGGAAGCCCTAGTTTCAAGTATTTTTCCAACTCCCTGAAATGTTCTCTTATAGTTTCCCTCTGCTCCTTCCAATAATAATCTCAAAGTTCTCACTGCCAGGGGCACAGACCAAAGTTACAGGGCATGAAAACATCCCCCGGGTGGGTCCGGTCGCTCAGAGGCTGGCTCACACATCCGTCCCAAGGGGTTTAGGCTGCAGCAAGACAGGATCAAGATTAGCACCGGAGACAAGGGACAGGCCCTGGGAAGCAGGCCACGTGTCCTCAGGGAAGGTCGAGACACAAGCTGTGAACAGCAGGACCCTGTCTGGGGGAGAGAGGACCCTTCTCCTAGTGGTCCCCGGGAGGTCTACACAGGCCATCAGGGTCTCTAAAGACAGGAGTGCAGAGGCCAAGGAAACCCAGACCCAGCGCCTGGAGCCAGACCCACCTGCTCTCCATACCATTTCCAAAATAGGGCACCCAAGGCCAGGGTTGGTGGACGGAACAGGCTGCAGCCCAGCCCGCCACCCGGTGGGAGGGGAGGGCGGCTTTCGCTATTTTTGCAATGCCTGATTTACAGCAATAGTTTCAACTGGATGATCACTTTAACTTTCTGATGATCCTGCTTTAAGGAACAGAGTCTTTGGAGGCAGGAAAACTGCTGTCCAAGCCTGGCTTCTCTGCCCACTGTCCTATTCCCCAAGAGTCCTAGGAAGCAAGGCTGATGCCGGTACTTCTTGGAAAGAAAGTCCCGTCTCCGCCCCTCGGCTCTCCCTCTCAGGACCTGCTGGGTGTGAAGGATGCACAGGTTGGGAGCCACAGCCCCGAGTTATTCTGGGTCCAGGCCCAGGGGGGCCTTTCCTTAATCCTGCCCTCCTCGGCGGCTTCTGGGCTGCCTGCCGACTCCCCCGGGCCTCCCCTTCTCCACATCCAGTTTCCCTAAATAGCTGCCAGAGGCTGAGGCCCCAGGACCCCTGGGAGAGGCTCTTGCCACCCACTGCCTCCCAGCTCACCCTGGTCTGATGGCAATCACTAAAGCAGGTGCAGTGTGAGCTGCCCTAGCTGCAGACTCACAAGTCCCCCCACGACCCCACATCCAGTCAGTTTCAGGCTACATCTCCCCGGGGTCCTTCCTCTCCTCTGCTGGCCACATGGCAGCCTGGTCCCGCCTCCACCATCCCCAGCAGGATCTTCCAACCCCGCACTCCACAGGCAGCCAGAATGAGCTTTGCAAAATGCAAATCAGACCTATTGTTCCCAGCTTGACACCCTTCAGAGGCTCACCCAGTCCCCAGGGTAACCCCCAAAGCTCCGAGAGGTGCCCCCTACAACCTCTGGCAGCCAAAGTGACCTCTGCCAAATGCAGGCCTGGCTCCTGCTCCACACCCCTCCTTAAACCCATCAGTATCCCCCACTACTGTTCCTAGGTTGAAGTCAAGACCCCTCTTACTAGTCTAGGGACCACATGATTGCAGCCCTGTCCTCCCCCGCCTTCCACCACACCAGTCCTCTCTGTGCTCCAGCAGGCCTCCCTTCTGCCTCACACTCGCCAGGCTGTGTGCCACAGGGCCTTTGCACATGTGGCCCTGTTCTCCTAGAGCACCTTCTCTGCTGTGCCTGGTTAACTCTTGGTCACTCTTCTCAGACTTCACCTCACAGGCCCTAGAGGAAGGCCTCTGCATTGTCTAGGGCAGCCCGAGGGCTGCCACCCCCCATCCCATGAACAAACGAGGCTCAGGGAGGCTCAGCATCTTGCTCAGGGCCCCACAGCCCTGGAAGAAACTAAGCTGAGTAGTTCGGCTGGCACAATGTGAAACCCACAGGGAAGTTCCCACCCATCTTATGGTTGCAACATGCCTGTTCCCTTCCTTCCCCCTTCTGCCAGACCTCCCTGCTTCTCAGAGATCTCCACAGACACAGGTCAGGCCTGGGGCCCTGGTGTCTGCCCATGGGCTCCAGAACCCTGGGGAGGGCATCTCCACCCCCACCTCTGGGCAGAGCCTTGGCACACTGAGTCCCCATCCAGTCACATGACTCAATTCCAACAACCATGGGCCCCCGGGGGTGTGAGCTCTGGCCGGAGCTTCAGCGCTGGGATGCTGGCCAAGGGCACCACCTCTCTGTGCCTCGGTTTCTCTGAGCCAAGGTGGTAAGCATAACACTAGCCAACTGAGTTCTTTAACACACACCACCTCAGTGCCCCTCCCAGCAACCCTGGCAGATGCTATTACTACCCCCACTGTACAGATGAGCAAACCAAGGCAGCCTCCAGGGCAGCCCCCAGTGATTCAGGCCCTGTGTAGTCCCCTTTCCAAGTGTGGGGTGACCCAGTGACTCACGGCTCATGAAGAGAATACAGCAAAAATGATGGATGTCAGTTGGGAGATTCGTTACAAAAACAGGGTGGCTCCCATCCCAGATGCCCCCTCTCTCTCCCTCTCTCTCATCTGGATGTCTCATTCTGGGGGAAGCCAGCAGCTGCAGTGTGAAACCCTGTGGAGCAGTGGTCCCTGACCCTTGCCAGCAGTCACAGAGTGAGTCTGGGAGCAAAGCTATGCCGAGGTGTGCTTGCAGGTGACCACAGGCCCAGCTGAGCCTGAGCCCAAAGACCCAGCCAGTTTGCACCCCCAGATTCCTGATCCCCAGGAACAGTGAGATAATACAGATTTGTTTTAAATGGCTCGGTTCGGGAGTCATTTGTTATACAGCCATAGCTAACCATTACAGAGACCTACACAGGTTGAGTAACCTGCCCAAAGTCACCCAGCTAGGAATGCAGAACTGTCTGACCCCACACCTGTGCTCCTAACTCCTACCCAACACAGCCCCTCTTCTCTGCATCAGCTTAGAGACTGTTGTGAGCTCACAGGGCAGAAGAAAAACTCCCTCAAGGACAGGGTTACCTGCCATTGTGCTGGTTCAGGGACAAGGGCCCACCTGTTGTCGAAGAAGGCACGGACAATCTTGGATCGGATCGGGTTGAGCTCCAGGTCAGGGACATGGTTGAAGTTCTCCTTGCTGGGTTCCAGGAAGAAGGGGCAGGAAAAGAAAGCACAAGTCAGACGGCATGTTCCACCACTTACCAGACTAGTTTTTACCCCGAGCAGCAGGCGCCACGGGAAAAACTCAGAGGTAAGAGGCTGGAGTTTGCTGCTTGTCCGCCGCCTCCTCCAGCCTGTGGACCGGCAGGAGCAGGGGTGACCTGGTGACTCAGCAGTGCTTTTTCAAATCCGATAAACAACTGGATGTTCACCTCCAGAAAAATGCAGGGACACCTGATTTGCACCTTAGTCTGGGGGTCAGAGACCACCTCAGGCCCACCACAGACCCCAGATGGGGAAACCCTGCTTTGGCCAGTCTGGAGCTGGAACAGCAGGATGCTGGCGTGGAGATTGAGGAAACAGTCTGGCAGGTCCTCCAAGAGTGAAACGTAGAATCACCATGTGACCTGGAGACTCCACTCCTAGGTATGTACCCAAGAGAAAGGAAAATATATACGTCCACATAAAAACTCAAACATGGAGGGTCTGGCAGTATTCATAGGAGCCACAGAGTAGGAACACCCCCATGCCTACCGAATAATAACTGGGTAAACAAACTGTGCTCTATCCATACAATGGAATATCATGCAGCCATAAAAAGAAGTACTGAGACGTGTCACACCATGGGTGGACCTCGGAAACACTGTTCTAAGTGAAAGACGACACAAAGGGTCACATATTGTATGGTTTCGCTTATATAACAAAGTAAATCCACAGAGCCAGAAAGTAGATCCGTGGTTGCCAGTGGCCGAGGGGCCGGCAGTGAAGGGGGCAGCAGAGAAGGGTACACAGACTCTCGCGGGGATGATGAGAATGTCCCAGAACTAGTGAAACCGACCGTGGCACTGGACACACAGCTCTGTAAATATACTAAGAGCTGCTGAATTGTACATCTGGATGGGTGAGTTGTAGGACATGTGGGTTGTATTTCAGTAAAACTGTTTAAGAAAAAAAAAAAACGGGTCATGGCTTGGGGCCAAGAGGGAGAATCTCAAACAGACACCCCGTCACCAGGCGCAAGTGCAGCCAAGCCCCAGGGCCAGGGGATCAGAGGCTCGGCAGCAGAGAGTCCCTCACCTGCCTGGCCGTCCCACATAAGGCCAGCCTTTGTTCTCAGAACCTGCTGCCCTGCGCACCCTTTTCTTCTGCTCTGTGGTCATCAACAAGCAGGGGCCTTGGGAGGGACCCAGGGCACAGGTAATCCCGGGAGCCTTCAGAGGCTCGCCCAGGCCAGAGAGGCTGAACGTCATTAGCATTAAAGTGAGAATTTCCAGGGGTGGGGGTCGTCATCAGATGTGGGACTCAAACCTAGAAACAAACCCGGGCCAGGAAGAAGGAAGTGCCACACACACAGAATTAAGCACTGTTTGAGTTGGAAGGTTCTGGAAACACATGCTGGCTCCTGTACTGCCCTTACCTTATATATGGGGGAGGCCCCCAGAGGAAAAGCAGCACGTGGCCCCAGTGCCCAGACCTGGCACCCCTACCCTGCCTGGGCCACTTCCCGCCTTTGCCAGTGCCCCTAGCTTGGCGTGCAGCCACTCAGGAGCCGGCATCAGGGATGCCAACACCTTAGATCCCGAGATCCCAGTTCTGGAGGAGGTGGCACGCTCACAGGAGCTGGCCTAGCGATGGGATATTACTCAGACGTAAAGCAATGCAGTACTGACCCACGCAACCATGTAGAGCTCCAAACCCGCAGCTAAGGGAAAGAAGCCAGACCGAGGGGCAGATCAGTGGTTTCTGGGGGCTGGGCCAAGAGGGAGTGGTGGCTGATGAGTACAGGCCTTCTTTTGGAAGTGGTGACAACATTCTAAAATTGACTGCATGCTTTAAATGGGTGAATTGAACAGAATGTGAATTGTATCTCAATAAAATTGTTTTTAAATTGCCCTAACAGTTTTTAAGACCAAACCACGAAGAACCACTGCACAGTGATTCTATTTCTATAGAGATCCAAAAGTGCCCACAGCAACCTACGTGGCTCCAAGTCAGGACAGAGGTCAGGTCTCTGCGTGCATGGGTCTGGGAGGGAGCATGAGGGGGCTTTGGTGGCTGAGGATGTTCTGCGCTTGATCACAGTCACAGGGCAGGGTCATGGGCGTGTTCAGTCCCTGAAGGTCCATCTCACTGTGACCCATCACTTCTGCGTGCATCACCCGAGCACTGGTGGGAAGGGACCACGGGAGGCAACAGATGCCCAGGGCCCTAGAAGGGAGCAGGTCTAGCCAAAGGGGCCACGTGGAGCCCGACAGGGGTTCTGGGAGAATGGAAAGGAAGCAACCAGCTGCTACGTGGCTGGTTAGCACGTGAGACCACAAACCCGGTCTGGTTTTCATTGGCCAGGAGGTCTTGGCTACTGCGGACTCTGCCTCAGTCTCAGTTTCCTCAACCGTGAAGTGGGCACAGCCTCTGGAATCAGAATTGGGTTCAACTCAGCTCTGCAACCTGGGACAAGTGACTTAGCTTCTCTGAGCCAGTCTGCTCCAGAAACGGGAACCTCAGAGGGTGGCTGTGTGCTCACTTAGCAAGATACCGGGGGAAAAGTGGGCGCTCCATGCTCGGAAGGTTTCAGGCTCCCAAAAGCACGGGGACAGGGACACTAATCACCACAGCCCCGTATTTTCGGTGCCCGGCACAACGGGCTGCGGACAGCACGGTGTACCGGATGAACAGCTCAGCGGAAGGCACAGCTGCCTCCCTGTCCAGTGTCCTGAGCTCCCGGCCACGCCATCGGCCCTTCCACAGGCGACCCGACCCTTCAGTTACCCAGGGCTTCACCTGCAGGTCCGGGGAGAACGTCAAAGCCCAGCCCTGTGGTGCCGAGCTCCGGGACAGGGTGAACTCTTAGAGGAGCTATCTCCCAGGGCTACTGGAAGGACTCTATCTGGGGGCGCTGGCAGGGAGTAGAAATGAGTTGTAGAAATGAGTCTGCTCACTTCCTCAGGAGGCAACTGAGGGTCTGAGGGGGGCCAGAGAAGCCCAATCCCCATGTGAGAGCAACCCCCTGGCCACCAGGAGATCCCACAAATGGCTAGAGGGACCCTGGGGCTAGAGGAAAGAGGACGAAGGCAGGAACAGCCTCAAAGAGCCCATGTCTGAAGAAGGCAGTTAGCGAGCAGGGGGCCCGCCTCCCACCGGCACAGAGGAGGTGAAGAGGCAGATGCTAGGGATCGAGCTGGGGCGCCAGGTGCTCTGCCTCAGAGCCCCTGGCAGGACCGCAGCCCAGCTGCCTCTGCACCTTATCCCCATGGTCCCTGCCAGACCTGCGCTCCAACCTCATCTCTCCATCACCATGGCACCTTGCTGACTCTCTAAGCCTCAGTTTCCTCATCTGTGAACTGGGTGCAGACCCAGCACTTCCCATATCACAGGGGATGCGAAGTCCAGCACGCACTGCGGCCGGTCCACCCTCTGCCCCAACCGGCACATGGTCTTAGGTGAGCCACGGCACAACTCGGAGCCTCGGATTTCTCATCAGCTAGTACCATGGGGCTAGTGATATAAACACATGTAAGGTGCTAAGGGTACTGACACATGGTGAGATCTTCATTTTAAAATGATGATGATAGAATAATAATAATAATAGCAGCAGCTAACCTTCCCTGTACTGCTAAGAGAGCTTTACATTATTATCCTGTAAAGTAGGAACTTATCTCCATCTTAAGGATGAGGACACTGAGGCAAAATGCTAAGAATGATACCGACTGACTTGGGGAGCACACAGAAGCCCTGCACAGAAGCAGCTGCTCAGGAGCCCCAGGGCTGGCTGCTCCTCGGGGGCCCTCCTGAAGATGCGCGTGCCAACATATTCTTTCCAACAAGTGGAGCAAGGCCTTGACACCAGAGCCTGGGAAAGGCTAACCACAGTTTAATGCCCTATAAATGCTGGTTTCGGTCCTGTTTCTCTTCCTCTCCACCTGCCCCCAGGTGCCCAAAGGGCCGGTGGAACCGGCTCAGGTGAGGGTGTCCTGGCCCAGGCTGCAGCCGTGGGAACCCACGAGCCCAGGGATGGGGACAGGTCCCTGCTCTCGGGCCAGAGCCGACACCCCACAGTCGGTGGTCCAGCAAGGCTGCCTCAGGGACCAGCAGGGAGATTTGCTTGGAGGGCTCCAGGGAGCTTGAACCCTGGGGTTTTAAAGTTTCCCCCTCACATCCTGAGAGCTGTCACTGTGCCAGGCTGTGCGAATCACTTGCAAACTCTGCTGTGTTTAAATCCCCCAACACACTCATGGTGCTTATTTTATAAGTAAGTGAGAAAATGAGGCCCAGAGAGGTGAAGTGAGTAGGCCACAGTCACACAGAAGAGGAGCTTCGATTCCGGCTCTAACTGCCCCCCTGGACTTCCTTACACACACACCACTTCCCTCTGGTTGTACCTTCTCATGTTGAAGAGAAAGAGAATGACAGGAACCTCCAGTAGGCACCTGCTCCCACCCCAGAGAGGCCCCATCCAGGCCCCAGAAAAGAGAGCAGGACAGGCGCCCAGCGCCCAGAGGAAGGAAACAGACTAGAAACCACCAAGGGAGGGCCCTGCGCTTCCTCCAGCCTCGTGGTGTGGGCTGGTTTCCGGCGGCTTTGAGGCTCAGCTCGACTGCAAAGTTCTCTCTGTGGGTCTTGGGATTGGGGCTGCCTCCAGCCACCACCAGAGCTTAGTGACCTCGGAGCTGAGGGTGCAGCCAGGCCCCAGACCTCAGCCCGCAGCTTGGCCTCCCCGGTCCCTGCAGCATCGAGGAAGGCCCTTGGGTCCCTGGGCCACCGGCCTGACTCTGCCTGAGCACCCCCTGCACACACTGCGTAGCACGTGACATTTCCCACCTGGGGCCATGGAACAGTAAACGGGGCCATGGAACAGTCAACGTTAGGGAGACGTTTACTCCCCATGGGGGGTTCGTGGAGGGCCACGTCTCTCTCAGCAGGTGTCTTCCCGGGCCACACCCAGCTACTCAAACTGTCGTCCCTCAGCACCACCTGGGA